AAAATATCCCATTCGGGGTCCCTGCAATCGCGATGGCAAGGGTGCCTGAGAGCTCATGACGCGAGCAGGATCTTCACTAAGCATGGGACCGCCTGTCATTGGAGCACTAGTGGCTTGCGCAAGCGGTGGGTACCGCGACACATTTCGCTCTTTCTCTTGGGCTGCGCGAGAATGCAGGGGCGCCTGCTGGGGGGTTGAACTGGCGGTTTTGCCCTTGGATCCCAAACGGCTGTCATCCGTATCCGGCGCGCTATCAGTGTGCGGAGCGAGAGGCCGAGGCATGATGATGGAAGATGGCGTAGCTTCGTAACGCCGCTTAGAGGCGAAATTAGGGACGGGCAGTGGACCTGTAGGCTCACCACGAGCTTTCTTGGTCTCTGCATCTGCAACAATATCCTCAAAGTCCTTTTGACCCGAGTCAATGCGGCGCTGAAAGTAGTTCTTAACCTGTGCCAGAGTTAATTGCTGATAGCCACATTGATGAGGCAGGGGAGCATACCATAACCGTGGTTTTCGTCTTCATAAAGTTGGATATACCCTCAAAGTCACGGCCAAAGTGCGCCAGCAGCAAAGGAAAATCGCGCTGTTCAGGCACTGACCAGTAACTCGTCGGTTGTAGAGACCCGTAGCCGCCTACCTCGGGCTGCCGGGCAGGTGCCGGAGTCTCCTGCTCAGTGGATTCAAAGACATACACGCCCTCCTTCGGACGGCCCCGACCAGACCTTGCGCGCGGTGGCACATCGGTTGCCTCCCGCTCTTGCGGCTCCTTGGGCCGCACGGCCGGGGCTTCGGTGGCTCCATCCAAGGATAGCTCCGTAGATTCCACCTTTGGTGCAGGAGTGACGGCAGCGGCTGCCACTGGAACGGGTGTGGTCTGGAGGGATTGCTCCGAGGGGGTGGGCTGTGGTGTTTGCTGCTGCTGTTGTTGCTGTTGCTGCTGCTGCTGCTGTTGCTGCTGTTGTTGTTGTTGTTGCTGCTGCTGCTGTTGCTGCGCTTGCTGCTGCTGGGCAGCCTTCCCTCTTCGGCCACCTCGCGTGCCTGTACCACTTCGGGGCCCACGTCGGCTAGGCTTCTCTGATTGCTCGCCATCCTTGGAAGCATTCCCACGGCGGCCGTTGTTGTCCGTATCGGCAGACGAGTCTCCAAACGTTGGGGCAGCGGCTCGTCGAGGACGTCCAGTGTCGGTGACTGGAGCGGGCTCCTCTTCACCTTCATAGTCCGGTTTCACAACACCCAGGTCAGCCATAAGCGCATTAGACTTGGGTCGAGCAGATCGCCGGGCACGCCCACGACGGCTCCACCGTTTGTTGAGCTTGGCCTTGTACTTGATCTCTTCTTTGGTCAAGTAATAATGAATAATACACTGCTGGAAATCCCGTCCTGGAAGCGATTCTGCAATTTTACCCCATTTCTTGGGATGTGCCATGAACGCGTCAGTGAAGATTTCGTGCTCTTCCTGGCTGAAATCATTCCGAGGCGGGAGGAAACCAAAGACATCCATGGCCTGAGCTGGGTCAATGATGTTGTTGGTATCTTTGTAGATGCCTGCCTTCACCTCTGGCGGCTCGAGCATCTCAGGAATCACGGCCTCCCGGGCGAGGTCCGGCTGTGCGGTAGCCTTGTTGCCGCGACGCTTCTCCAGTTCTTCTTGGGCAGAAATCTCAGAGGCACGCAGGGCGTTCTGGAAGTCTAGTTCGCTATTTCCCTTGTACCGTCTTCCGCTTTCCACCGTAGGTGTAGGCGTCGCCGTGGCCGGGGCAGCAGGTGGTGTGGTGGGCCCGGGGCTACCCGAAGCTTTTTCCTTCGCATGATCCAACTCCCACACATTCAGCCTCCAAGGCTTGTAGAAGGATAGATAATCCAACCTCAACTCGGCATTCTTCCGCGCCACATCCTTGCGACGTTTCATGATGATGTCGCGAAAGGTGTCCTTCAAACGTTCATGAGTTGCCGCATTCTCCTGGTAAACCTCCAAGTCGGATAACGGTGTGGGTGGACCAGAGTTCAAGAACGGCAGACTCTCGAGAGTAAGTGCATCAGCCGCAGGAACAGAATCCAGGACAACCTTGGCGGGTGGCTCATGTTCTTCAGCCTTGCCATTCGGCTCGGTTTCCATCTCGGGTGCCGACGGTTCCTCCTTGGCTATCTTGGTGTCCTCGGCTAATACTGGAGGTGTGGGCGCCTTTTCAGGCACCTGATCATGGGCAATCATCCCCAGATACTGGATGCGCATAAGCAGCGCCACGATATTGGGGTCTTCCAAGGGTGACGGTGGCAGTTCAGCACGCAGAGCATTCATATCCTTTTCGAAGATCTGCTTCCGCTCTTCGAGATAGTCCTGCGTGAACACAACATTCTCATCCTCGTCTTCGTCGCTGGAACGTCCAAAATCTGGTATGACGACTGTACTTTGATCCTTAGGTGCCTCCTTGGGTATTTCTTTCAGTGCTTCCTTAGGCGCCTCAGTGGGCGCTTCTCTAGGCACCTCCTTCTCGGCAGGCTTCTCCTCGGCAACTGGCTTTTTCGCATCAATTTCAGGTACATCCACGTCCATGGCCGGCTCAAACGAGACCGCAGGCTCCTGGGGCTTTGTTTCTACAGGTTCATCTTCGCCGACAATCTCACCCGCCTCAAGTCCATTGGAAGACTCATCGGCCTGACTTTGCGACTCGAGCTTATGGTCTTCGCTGAGAGACAGGCTTCGCTCCTTGCCATCGATGGAATCGCGTTTTGGTGGTGGTGCAGCACTCGGACCGGAGGGTGGACCGGTGAAACCCGGACGCACCCATTGTTTCATGGCTTTAGTCGAGCCACGTGAAATTGACGGGCGTTGCTGAAGTGCACGGGGCCCTGTAGGAATACTCGATGTAGGCATCCGAGGTGAGGTGTGCGGACCCGGGGAAGTGGCTGACCCTGTGGCCGATGGCCTCCGTCCAAGTTCTGGGGAAGTCATCGTTGGTCCTAGTTTTCTCGGAGACGGTGTTTCGTGAGCTCCTGGTGCATCTTTGTGGACCATCGCCGCAGGAGCAGTAGGAGGTGAGATATCCCTTGATTTCGGCCCACCGGCTGCTGCTGGGGCGTGCGGCTTCGGGGGTCGGGTAGCCAGCTCAGGTTTTGGTGGGATATCAGGCGTCTCTTCACGGCGCGTATCGTCACGTCGAACCCTTTGCTCCAGCGGTTGTTGGGGAGGGCCTCTCTCCGCTTTGGGCGCGGTCGGAGGATGCATTGGGGCTTTTGGCGGAAGCTCATGCCGTTCCTTTTCTTGTTTCGCAGTTGCGGCGGCTGTTGACGTCGATTCTACCGGGGGTTTCTCCGATTTTTCGGATTTGTCGACCTTGTCTGGCTTCTCAAGCTTGTCTGGCTTCTCCGACTTCTCCAGCTTCTCTGCAGGGATCTCGGGTAGGGGCGCGGTGACGGAACCGAATGCTGGCACCTGGGGAGCGGCCGGAGGCGGGGATCGCTTCACAGGAGGAGGGGCCAGGTCCTTCGGTGGCTGCTCGGGCAGGGGCGTTGGTGGTTCAGTGCGCTCTATGCGTTCAATGCGCTCAATGCGGTCCATGCGTTGCGAATCACGACGTGCCTCTCCCGCCGAGGGCTTCCGGGGCGGCTCTGCGGGTGGATGGTCCGGAGGCCGTTCAGGCAGACCAGGAACCGGCAGTACGGCTGGCCCAGTCACCGACGACACAGTCGAGCTGCTCGGAAGTCGATTCTCGGTGCGACTGGGGGGACGATCGCGCTTCCAATGATCGCCTGGTCTTTCACGTTCGTCGCGTTCAACCCGGCGGTCCACCTCCTCCCGCCGTTCGAACCTTTCCCGTCGTTCGAGCTCGCGTTCCCTGTCACGCTCGCGCCGGTCAGGATCGCGATCACGATCGAGGATCACCCGGTCGCGGTCCCGATCACGATCACGCTCCCGCTCGCGATCAAGAATCCGGTCTCGTTCACGCTCCCGATCCCTTTCCCGGTCGCGATCCCTCTCGCGCTCGCGCTCACGGTCCCACCGGGCGTCGCGGGACCGACTTCGACGTCTGAAGGAATCGCGATCATCCAGATACGGCATTCGACCGCGACCCCGTCCCGAGTCCCATTCACCTCGGCCACGTCCACGCATGGGCGGGCCACTGCGGGGGTGATGACCGCCACCGGACGGGACATCGGGTACGGCGGATGATACCGAGATCATGCTGTCTCGGGAGCCCCGTCGCATTCGAATCATGTCTGCATCTCGTCCGAGGGGTTCCCTCATATCTCGAAAGTCGCGGGGAGGCGGCGGGGAGCGAGAGCGGCCACGGCCAAAGCCGATGCGCGATTCTCGCGGGTCGAAATCGCGGTCACGGCGGCCCCAGTCTCTGTCGCGGTCGAGATCTCGGCGAAAGGGCGGTGGTCCATCCCGGATGTCTCGAAAGTCGCGGTCACGGTCGCGGTCCCGATCTCGTACGTCGCGGTCCCGGTCCCGAAAGTCTCCACGGCCCGGATAGCCTCTGCCACGCCCGCCGAATGGGGCTCCTCGCGGGGGGTCGATCAAGGCCTTGGGACCCCGGGGGGGTTCCCTGCCCAGCGGGGGTAAATTCGCATCGTCGGCGCCACGGGGGCCAACGGGGGGTCGACGGTCACCGAAGCGTTGGGGCGAACGGTCACGGGAATTAAACCCAGACAATGGAGGGTATCTGGACGACATCACCAGGTCATGCTAGTGAGCGTGAGCTGAAGTAACCTGGCAGGAGAGCCTGCCACAGGTTAGTTGCAAGGTAATTGAGGTAAAATAGTAAAGATGATGTGAATGGTAAGCAGGATGTAGATATTCAAGGAAAAAGAAAAGAGAGAAGAAAAAGAAAATAATAAATATGTCACACAATGAGCGCAATGAATGGTAGGCAGGGAAGGATAGCCAGCAAAGGGACGGAACGGTCCCAACAGAGACGAGACAAGACGAGACGAGACGAGACAGCCGCCGCCCGCTCCAGCAGCGCCAGTCAGAAGCGCCTAAGGCGGCGAACGGGGGAGTGGAGAGCACGTGACGGCAGGGAAGCATGGAAGGGGCACGGGCCAGGCAGCCAGGCAGGCAGCTTAGATAAGCAGCCAATGAGTGGTGCGCAAATCGGGCTGCGGATCCCAATTTGGCACTCAAGCAAGATTGCAGCCATGATTGACGGATTCCATCACCTTAGCGCCAGCCACTTGGCGCGGCCTGTTTCACCCGGAACTGCCAGCGCCTGTGGGAGCTTTTTCAAGGTGGATCGATCGTCCGAGGGAAGTCACAGGATCAGGACCTGTTCATGATCATGGTGGATTTCCACACCCCCCAGTCCGCCAAAAAGGAGCATGGCCCTTCTGCTGGAACTGGCATTGTGTTCGAGATGGGGGATTGAAGGGGGCGCGCCGATAGTTCGACCCAGGTCCCCGGGACAAAAGTGACTGGTGACAAAAAGTGAAGCACGATCCTGCACCCGCGGACGGCCTGCCCACGACCAACGCAAAAAAAGTGGAAAAAAGGGAGCATAGTAATGACAGGCCAGAAAAACCAAAACTGGGCATCAAACTGGAAAGCGCGCGTAAAATAGCAAAAAGAGGAGAAATCTCCGCACCTGGGAGTCTATGCAACGTGTCAAGCCGTGAACCCAAAGTAGACCTGCAAGGAGACCACGCCGGGCAGCAAAATCGCAAATTGCAGCAGTTACGGGGGTGTCTGCTTCTGGGATTATTCGAGATCCGTTCGTTGCTCTCTCTCTCGGAAGTCGGAGCCGAAAAACGTCGAGGACCAGCCTGGGGGGAAATAGGGACGCGAGTAGTTAAATAAGTTAAGACAAAGAGAGCCGAAATGAAGGAAAAGAAAGTGTGTATATGAGTGTGTGAGTGGAGGACTGATTGAAGGGGATGTTCGGAATTGGAGGTGAGAAAGGGAGGATGGGGGAGAGGGGGAAGTTAGTTAGTTGGTGGTGGTGGTGGTGGTGGTTTGAGGCAGGATCTTGAAAGACAAAAACGGAGGAACGAGAAATGGGGCAGAGACGATGGATGGATCCCTGGTGAAGGGCAGCGGTTGGATGGGCTGAGTTTAGTTGGCCAGGGACTTTAGTTCCCTCGCCCACGACTGACTGGTCTTAGTGTGACTAGTTAAAGGGAACTCAAAAATAACTCTGGATCGCCTCCCCCGGCGTGCATGCCTCAGGAGAGGATCTTTTGCCCTGTTGGGAAGGCCCCATCATGAATGACTAATGAATACGCGGATACCTTAGGCATTAAAGTCTCGCTGTTGAGCTTTGCGGACAGAGCTGGGAGTTTTCCCGGCGATGGCTCGGTCTCGCTCACTCCCTGAATGCCTGAATGCCTGAGGTATCACGATGGCGGTTGTCACGAACGGACTGTCACCACCCCCGCCATTCCGCCCTGCAGAAAAATTTCCAGAAAAGAGGGGATCATCATCATCCAAACCATCCCACATTGAGTGCCCCGTGTTTGCTCCTCTCCTATCAATCTGGTCCCCGCTTGACCGGTAGACTCGGCGTCTCTTTACGCTATCAATTACATCTGGATTTTGGTTTGGATTTTCTTCTCTCGCTCAACAGCCATGTCCGCACAAGACTCCGCCACGGGCAATGCCCCTCCCTCTGCGGTCACCAATGCCGTGTTGGTCGCCTCGGAACCCGTGCCTGAGGGGACACACCAGGTCAGCGGCGTCGACTTTGACCGGTTCCAAGGCCGGGACATCACGGTCGCCGAGATGGTGGACAACATGAAATACACCGGGTTTCAGGGCAGTGCGGTCGCGGAAGCCGCCCGCATCATCAACGAGATGGTTCGCATCCTGTCTTCCCCCCATCCTGGGCATTGAGTGATCTAGCAGCGTAGCTAATCCCGCGATACCTCTATATAGCAAGCCTACCGTCATCCGGAGTCCGGCGAGAAGACGACCATCTTTCTCGGATACACCTCCAACCTCATCTCCTCCGGCCTTCGAGACACCATCCGCTACCTGGTCCGCAACCGGCACGTCTCCGCCATTGTCACCACGGCCGGCGGAGTGGAGGAAGACCTCATCAAATGCTTGGCTCCCACCTACATGGGCTCCTTTACCGCCCCGGGCGCTGGGCTGCGTGCCAAAGGATTGAACCGCATCGGCAACCTTATCGTCCCGAACAGCAACTACTGTGCATTCGAAGATTGGTTGATCCCCATCCTGGATAAGATGCTGGAGGAACAGGAGGCCGCCAAGAAGAAGGCACTGGAGACTGGCGATGAGGAGGACGAGTTGCATTGGACCCCCAGCAAGATCATTGAACGTCTCGGCCGCGAAATCAACCACGAGGACTCGGTTTTGTACTGGGCTGCTCGGAACAACATCCCGATCTTTTGTCCCGCCCTGACCGACGGCTCCCTGGGCGATATGCTCTACTTCCACACCTACCGCTCCTCCCCGCAACGGCTGCGGGTCGATATTGTCGACGATGTGCGCCGTATCAACACCATGGCTGTCCGGGCCGCCCGGGCCGGCATGATCATTCTGGGTGGCGGGGTCATCAAACACCACATTGCCAACGCCTGTCTGATGCGCAACGGAGCCGAGCATGCCGTGTACATCAATACGGGGCAGGAGTTTGACGGCAGCGATGCGGGGGCCCGGCCGGATGAGGCTGTCAGCTGGGGTAAGATCAAAGCCGACGCCAAGGCCGTCAAGGTCTATGCAGAAGCCACAGTGGTCTTCCCGCTCATTGTTGCGGCCTCGTTTGCCCGAGCCAGTCAGGCGACCCCCGACAGTGAAACGTCTCAGAACTGAGGGCGATGTTGGAGGTCATCACTCCGATCGGGGGTACTCTCTGCTATCTGTCCAACTCCAATCCCTCCACCTCTCGCAATGCCTCCTATCAGCTCGGATAAAATAAAAATCAATTGGTTTCCTTGCCCGACGCCTGCCGAGTCTACCGATCGTGAGAGCTTCCCCTTTGGCGACAGCTCGGGCCGTTTGGTTGACAGAGGGGCAGCGACATGGGCGGGCCCAGGCGTGGCAGGCACGCGAAAGCCGCCCCACCATCCCCTCGAGTTGGGAGGCAAATCGGAGGGCTTGGTTCCGATTCAAAAAGCAAAGCACGCAAGAGGGGCCACCCCCCTGGGATCAATTCTACACGGAGAAGAGCCCTTCCCCTTTGAAGAGCCGAAAACCCGGAACCCACTGGCTGTGAAACCTCGGAAGAGGCAAAGTTTGGATGGACGAACGATGGTTGATGGCAAATCATGGGGGAGAGAAAGAGAAGTTGTTGACTGGATTGCCGGGGGTTGTTCCACCGGTCGATCATTGCGGTCGGCACGGGGTTTTGCATGCAATAAGGTTTCATCCTCCGACTCGCCTTGCCACCTGGTGGTCCATTCAAGCAAACCGCCATCAATGGCTGTTGAGAGGAGAACAGGAAGACATGTACATGGGGGAAGGTAGGGAGGTATGGAGGTATGGTATAGATTAGGTGCTTTTTTTCTTGTGTGCATATAGAGTGATGCCAATGATTAATGAGATTACGAGCTCCGAAGAGGGTTGAAGCGAATGACAGGTCAGTTCCTGTCTTCTTCTTTAGGGTACCTTTCTTTCCATTCATGCCTTGGCCGGGGACTGCAGGGATGCGACGCCCCGCGCAGTCGATCAGTTCCGTCCATCATGTCCGGGCGGTCATGCGGTCGAATCGCAGGCCCGTATCATATCATTTTTCCTTGCTCATTGATTATCCCCCAAATTCTTTTGATCTGTTGGGGGAGGGTGGGGACTGAAGAGAGAAAGATACTCCAGGAGGCAGACGGGATCCGAAAATGGGGCCCGGGTGGCAATCGTGGAAGGGCTTTCATCGGATGGATTGCAGGGGCAGAAGGCAAGACGTGAAGGGGAAGTTGGCCAGTCCCCGGCCAGGTTGCGGACCCTCAAACCACTGCTGGACGAGGGTTATTGGATGCCAACCAGCGGTGAGGATCCGTGATCTGGTCTGGCTGCATTGCCGCCTCATCCTTTTTGGCCCATTTCTCTGGTGGGAACAAACTATCATCGGCGGCTGCGGCTTTCCTTTCTTTTTCTGCCATCGATTCTTCTTCTTCTTTTTTTTATTATTAAAATCATTATTTCTTTTTTGCTTTTCTTCTCTCGTTTCGAGGAAGTGTCTATTTTCCCCTCTCTTTTCTTTCTCTCTTCTCTCATCTTTTCTTCCTCTCATCTTCCTGCTCTCTTTTCTTATCTTCATCCCCCCCTCTCTCTCTCTCTCTCTCTTACTCCCGCCCGATCTATATTTATTCTATAGACCCTTCTATACCTCCTCGCCCGATTGTTCTTTAGTTTTACCGCTCTGGGCCTAGGCTTCCCCGGTTTCCCTCACTAATCTGGTGCTGATAAGCCCGGTTGGCCATTCTTATCGCCCGACATTCTAGACTTTCATTGCTTCGTTGTTGGTTGTTGGGCTGTCGTGCTTGCTTGTCATTGCTCTCTGGTGTGATCTGTCGTATTTTTATTGCTCTTCTATTCTGTCCTTGGGTCTCCTTCCCCTCCATCCCACTCTCCCTTGCTGATTGTGAGGAGGTCTCATCTTTCTCTTTTCTTTTCTTTTTCCCCTCCAGAGCAGCAGCTGACTCTCTCTCTCTTGGCCTTCCATTCTCCCCGCGTTTGTATGTTTGAACTTGCCTAGATCAGTCAGTTGCATCCAGCCTGACTGCCAAGGCTACTCGTGTTGCTCTTCGTTTTGACTCACCTGCGGCTCTCTGTCAGCCCATCGGATTGTCGGCTCAGTTGCTTCTGCCTCGCAACTGTCCTCTCTTTCCATTGTGACTGTTGTGTTCGTTGAAAGTTAGTCGTCTTCATTGTCTGCTTTCTTTCTTTCTTTCTTTCTTTCTATCTTTCGACTCCCACAATGGATGCCTCGCCGGATTCTGGCTCCAGTGTGGAGCAGCAACAAGAACCACCCATCACACTCAGCACTCAACCTCCCTCTCCTGAGTCGGTCAGGGAAACCACCGTCACCATCGAGGCGGCTTCAGATGACCTTGCAGTCCATACAACAAACCCCATTACAACAGCAAGCATCCCTCTAGAAACCCCATCGTCAGAATCACCCCCAGTCGAGATTCAGGATGAGGCACCTCGAGAAGATATCCCGCCTCCCGTGCAAGCGGACCCGGTTCCGGTGATCCAGCCACCCCAACCTGAGCTGGAACATGCCTACTGGGCTGATATCGAGGAGGACCTCTCGGTTCCCGATGAGGCAGAGATGAAGGAAATAGAATCTGCTGCGGATGGCGACTACAGCGCCTACGAGTGTAAGTGACCAAGAGCCATCCAGGAGCTGGTCCCCCAACTATGATGGCTAACAAGACCAGATGACTACTGGGAGAAGAACTTCCACCCGGACCTGGACGACCCCGAATACCGCCCGGCGGAGAAGGCCCGCATGACATGGAAGATCAAGGGTGTGCGAGGCACCCCTGACGCTCCCAACCGCGTCAAGATCATGCGTTCGCCGCCCGCCTACGTGGGCGGTTATTGGTGGACCATCAAGTTCTTCCCTCGGGGGAACAACGTCAATGCTCTCAGTATCTACATCGAGTGCTCTCCGACTATGCCCCCGCCCGACAAGAGTCTGCCCGAGACTGAGTTCAAGGTGCTGCACGGCCCGGCTGATGCAGCCCTGGATGTCAATGCACCGGACCTCGACATGAAGTTCGCTCAGACCGACGATTCCGCGAGTTGGTTGGAAGCGTTCAAGTCTCAGTATCCTGCTGCCGCTAATCACGCAGAATCGACCGGCACCAAGTCCTGGCGGGTTTCGGCTCAAATCGGCGTAATCCTGTATAACCCTGAGGAGCCGCGGACAGGCTGGATGCAATCGTCATGCCATCAGTTCAACCCCCACAACCTGGACTGGGGTTGGACCAACTTCCACGGCCCCTGGGCCCAGATTCACCGCCGGCAGCGGGGCCAGCGCCAGGCGCTTCTCCGCAATGATACCCTTGCCTTCGATGCGTATATCCGCATTGTCGATGACCCCACCCGCTCGCTCTGGTGGCATGCCAGTGACACCGAGCCGACGTGGGACAGCTTGAGTCTCACGGGCTATCGGCCTTTGGGCGACTCCGTCATCAATCACAGCGCTGAGGTCGCTGGGTTGGCTACCTGGGTGCATCTCGCCCCTTTTTGCAAGATCATCCAGAATGCCAACGTCCTGGACCATCTGACCAGTTGCGATGTCAAGCCGAAGCCACTCTGCGATGCTCTACAGAAGTTCCTGTGGCAGTTGCGGTCTCGGGGCCAATCGCTGCAGTATGTGGATACGGACATGATCACCTCTACCTTGCGTAACCTGCACGAATACTCGGGCGATGTGTGTGAGTTCTGGGAACGCCTGCGCCGCACGCTTGAGATTGAACTGGCAGGCACAGACGCCGTGCAGGAATTGGCCAAGCTGTTCGACAGCCCCTCAGTCGAGTCGCTTCCTGGAGAAGCGCAGGCTCGGGACGTGATCAATACTGTCCCGAAGGACTTCAACTCCCGGATCTGTGTGCCCGCTGATCAAGCCAAAACCACCAGTGAAGCTTTCAGCTGGTACTTGAGTGCCAAGCCTGGACGCTGGGTACTTCCTCCGGTACTTCACTTGGAACTGGGTCGCCAGAAGTTGGACAAGGCTGCTCGGCAATGGCGTCTGCTCTACAACCGAGTCGATCTGGATGAGGAGCTGGACCTGACGCCATGGCTGCTGGATGGCCAGGAAGGCAAATACGTCCTTTACGGTTACATCGTTCACCGTGGCCGGCGTACGTCTGGCAAATTCTTCAGCATTCTTCGACCGGGAGGTCCTGGAACCAGATGGCTCGCTTTCGATGATGGCAGTGATAACCGTGTTGAATGCCTGACTCGTAAGACCGCCTTGGGCCCTCACCTCGGCCTGGACGCCTCCCAGAAGGTAGACCACAAGACTGGCCATGATGTTGCCATTGCGGTGATGTATGTCCGCAGTGACGTTGTCCAGGAATTCTTACCTGGCCCACAAGGTCCATGGGACGTGCCCGCGAGTCTGAAAGAGTACTATGAAACGGGTATCCCTCCGGTCCAGTTGGATGACAAGGGCCACAAGGACGAGATCAACGTTGAGGTCTACTCGCTGCCGAAGTACGATCAGTTGGGTAGCTTGTTCGATACGTATGATCTGATGTCACAGGCGAAGCTGGAAAACGGGGTCATGTATCTGACGGTACCCCGCTCGTCCAACTATGTTGATCTCCGAAAGAAGATCGCCCTCTGGGCATCTGCCAAGTCTAGCGAGAATACCTGTGCAGAGCATGTCCGGCTCTGGCAAATTGGTCACACTCGTGACCAGTTTGGGCCTACCCTTGCCTTTGCTCGTATCTCCGACCTGACAAGCACCTTGGACTTTCCGCTGAAGACGGTCCGTTTCTGGATGCAAGTCGTCTCTGACGGTATGTAGTTTAACTTTCCACGTGGTATACACCATACTAACCAAAAGAGCAGAGAACGCGAAATTCTTCGCCATTGCGGATCCCCCACAGGCGATTGCAATTCAAGCCAAGCCGGAGGAGGCTGTGGTCGAACGCGCGGGTTCAGAATCCTCGGAAGATAGACTGCCTCTTCCCGAAGGTGAAGCTCGCGCGAGCTCATCGGGAACTGTACCGGAGAACAGCATGAGTACCACCAGTGGTGTGACAATCGCCAATGCGGTGAATGTTTCACACATCGAGATCGTCCCTCAAGACCCTGTACCTACGGACTTGGGTGGCACGGGTGCACCTACTACTGGAGACTCCGAGAACGATGCAGTGATTGCTGCCATTATCGCGGAAGATATCCAGCAGATGGATACCGACCGAGTCCCCGACGCAGCTCCCCCGGCCACTCAGGAACCCAGTCAGGCGGTTCCAGATGAGCCTGAGCCCCAAGCTAGTACAGCTGCAGACATCCCTGCCCCATCGATTGAGCCGGAGGTCCCCCAGCCAGTAGACCACGTGTACTACTTCATCCAAAAGTTCGATGTGGAAGCGCAGGCCTTGCGCACAGTGGGATCCTTCTTCTCGAAGAAGGAAGAAAATATCAAGACTGCCGTCCGGAGGCATCTCAAGATCCCGCCAATGAAGGATTTCCAGATTTGGCAACGTGTCGATGGCACCACGGTGACCACCATGGCTTCGGGTGAGACATTCGAGGTTTATGTGCCCGATGGTACCTGCTTTATTGTGGGTGACAAGTTGAACAAGGACAGGTAAGCACGACGTATTTTCGGGTCGTTACAGTCAGACTAACCTCTTACTCTTTAGACGTTTGCAGCTCAACGTGGCCGGTCTCTTCGGCAATCCTGACCAGCTAGTCCGCTATCTGTGGGCTGAGTCTCGCAACCACCCTACGCGTGCCTTTACGGGCTTCAAGACGATTGACGCATCGTTCACGAACGACTATTACAGTGGGGAGTTCAACAAGGGTCACTTCCACGGAAAGGGCAAGCACATCTCTGACCTGGCCGCAACCTACGTCGGAGACTTCGTGCTAGGCAAGCGCCATGGAAGCGGCTTCATGGAGTATCCGACCGGTGACACGTATGACGGTGACTGGTTCGACGGTATCTGCCACGGACAGGGCACGTACGTCGAGCGCAAGACGGGCAACAAGTATGTCGGCGGGTACAAGGACGGCAAGCGTCACGGCAAGGGCATCAGCTACTGGGAGGTAGCCGATGAAGAAATGGATCTGTGTCAGATCTGTTACGGCGAGGAGCAAGACGCCTTGTTCTATGACTGTGGCCATGTCTGTGCCTGCGTGACCTGCGCTCGACAGGTCGACCTCTGCCCCATCTGCCGCAAGAATATCATCAGCGTGGTCAAGATCTACCGCACATAGTAGGCATGTGCTGCCTGCCCTCATCCCAACACCTTGTTCCTTCCTTTATTTTCGTTCGTTCTCGGCCTCGACAGCCGCACAGAGACAAGATGACGAAGCGCACCAAGAAGGTCGGTATCACGGGTAAATATGGTACCAGATACAGTGCTTCTTCCAGCACGCCCGTTACATCTGCGCCTTCTACAGGGTGGGTGTCTACACTGTCTCTATTCACGCTGTGCGAGCAGGGCAAAGGGGAAAATAGAAACATACGTCCCCTTACATTTGGTTTCGTATAATATTGCATTGAAGACTTTATCATACCCAGGATGTTGCAAAGACCGGAGTGATTGGCTTGGTTGATAATTAGACACGATGTTGTCAGCAGATTTGGAGTTCTAGACACGTTTGTTTTATCCGTTTTACTTTCTACTGGAGTTTCAAGCAATCTGAAGAATTTATAGCTCACTTCTAGTACAAGCCCACAGTAGATATATTGTAGAAGCCGATAGCATCTTCACAGTGGTACTACTTAGTAGTCCATCTATTACTCGCAGCAATATATGAGACAACCAATCTCCAATTGGCAATATATCGTGCCCCATAGTACCTTATCTCATGCAAGGGACACCAGTCCCTACTACGTACCACATATTACATCTACAGTACCCAACCAAACCAATCTCCTATCCAACCAGGAATAACAGAATAGAAAATAGAAAAGAAAATAATGGTATCTATTGACTTGACTCGACTCATCCAGCCCAAGTAGAACGAAGCTATCTATCTACCACCATCATCATATCAAAGAAAAAGAAAAAGGAAATAGAAGACATGTGCATGCGCCGCCCATACAGACCAACAATACAAGACAAATGCTTTTTATGTCAAACAAGGAACAACATCAACAATCACCACATATGTAAATTACAAAGAAGAGAAGAAGAAAGTAAAGAAGGATGAATTAAGCCGATGATGGATGGCTTATTTCTTGCTTGCCTTCTTGGCAGTAGTCTTCTTCTTCTTCTCCGTGGGTTCTTGTGCGGTGGTGGGTTTTTGTTGCTGCTTCTTTGTCGTAGAGGGTTCTGCTGTCTCGGTCTTGGTCTTGGTGGGCTTGGAATCGGCCTTCGGCTTGGGGGATTCCTTTGATTCCTTCTTCGCGGGGGTCTCCTTCTTGGGGGATTCCTCCTCCTTCTTCTTCTCCTTCTCCTCGATCTTCTCGGTAGGGGCGGATGACTCGTCCTTGGACTTGGACTTGGCGGGCTTGTTGAGAATAGCCTTGGGGTTCAGACCCTTGCGGCGGAGACGGTTGCGCTCAGCGCGGGCGATGCGAGCAGCGTCCTCCTCATCTTCTTCGAAGGGACCGAAGCTGCCGCCTTCGGTTTCAATGACCATGCCGTCTTCGTCGGTGATGGGGGTCTTGTCGATGGGTTCGTCGTCATCGGTGGTGGTGGAGGCGACGGAGGGAGTCTTGGACTTCTTGGCGGAGTTGCCGTCGGTAGCGGCAGCGGCAGCGGCATCGCCAGGCTTGGGGGTAGGGGTGGCGGCAGTCTTCTTGAGCTTGCAGACGAAGAAACCGTCGACGTTCTCGCGGTGGGGGAAGTAGCGTCTCGTCAGGGTCATCTTGGGGTCGAAGTGCTTGCCCATGTAGCTGGTCATACCGGGGCTGCCGAAGTCGCCGAGGCCGGTGTCGACGAGCTTGACGTTGGGGCGCTTGCGCAGGACGTACTGCACGACGGCTTCGTTCTCTTCGACGGTGACACTGCAGGTGGAGTAGACGACGTAGCCGCCGGTCTTGGAGGCGTGGTCGACGGAGTCGATGGCGGCCAGAAGAAGCTGGCGCTGCATGTGGGGGATGGCGAGGAAGTCGCGCTCGTTCTTAGAGGTCTTGACGCTGGGGTCCTTGGAAATAACACCGGTACCGGTGCAAGGCGCATCGAGAAGGACACGGTCGAAACCGCCCATGGCCTTGGGGAAGGCGGTGCGGGCGTCCATGTTGGTCACGATGGTGTTCTTGCAGCCCAGACGGTGGATGTTACCGATCAGACCCTTGGCACGGGGCTTGCTAGCATCGTTGGCGATGACGCAGCCGGTGTTGCGCATCAGGGCAGAGATGTAGGTGGTCTTACCACCGGGGGCGGAGGCCATATCGAGAACACGCTCGTTGGGTTGAGGGGCGAGGGCCATGACGGGGAGGAAGGAAGAGGCGGCCTGGATGATGTAGTGACCGGCCAGGTACTCGGGGGTGGCACCGAGGGGAACAGCGGATTCGAAGACCTGAAGACCAACCTTGGACCACTTGCCAACGGGCTCAAGCACGACACCACGGTTGATCAGAGCCTGAGCGAGGGAACGACGGTTGGTACGGAGAGTGTTGGTACGGATGACGACGGGACGGGGGGTTTCGTTGGCTTCGAAGAAGGCGAAGGCTTCCATGGGGGTGAAGAGGTTGAAGAGCTTCTCGGCAAGGTAGGGGGTGTAGCCGTAGTAGGTGCAGATGTCGGCGATGAGCAGCTCAGTGTAATCGGTACGAGACTTGCCGGGGGCACCAAGCGTCTTCAGGTCACCCAGGATACGGATGGTGTCGGTGATTCGGGTACGAAGCAGCTGAAGATCGGGAGCCAGGCCGGGCTGAGTGCCCTCGGCGTCGCCAAAGACATCGGGACGGTCACCAGCGATGTTGGTCTGCATGGCCGATTCCTTCATTTCGCGCTCGGCCTCCTCCTCTTCTTCCTGTCTTTGCAGGTCCAGCTTGCGCGACAATCCCTCGATGTTGGCGGCGGTCAGCCTCTCTTCAGCGTCGGAAAGGTCTTCGTCGTCGGAGAACATGGCTTCGCGAGGGTGGTCATCTTCGTCGGAGTCCACGAAAGAGTCGCTGTCCTCCGCTTGGCTATCCATGGAGCCATCACTGACACCATCCAGATCGTCGAACTCATCGGCATCCATTTCCTCAATACCGGACATATCCTCATCCTCGTCCTCATCGTCGGAATCCATGAACTGCGGCTTCTTCTCGACAGCCTTAGCCTTGGGCTTAGTCTCAGCCTTGGGCTTAGCCGCAGCCTTGGTCGCCTTGCCATTAGCAACGCCATTGGCCTTCTTCTTGACGACGGGCTTTGCGACATTCTCCTCATCGGCATCAGCTCTTCTCCGCTTCTTTCCTGTCTCCGGCTTCGACTCGGGCTCACCAGCCTTGCGCTTCTTGAAGATGGTGATCTTAGACTCATCCAGCGGGGCCGGAGGGCCCTGCTTCTTCATACGACGACCGACACCCATAGTGAAGATGTGAATGTGAAAGGGGGGTGAAAGTTGGATAACTGGAATCTACAGCGGAGAATCCAGACTTTTTTCTTTTCGTTACTTTTTTTTCTGCGGGCGGTTGGCGACGGCAGAAAGAGTCCCGCAAGGCGGTGTGTCTTTGATGGCCTGAGGCAAAGAATGCAGTCACGGAGGGATGGGCTTCAGCTACCGCCCAATTGGGTAATGGGAATACCACATGCCGCATCCATAATTACTGCCTCTACCCAACTACCTTACCCCACATATACACTTTCTCGCTCTACATACAAACTACCTCATCCACTGACAGGATAGAAGATTGCCAAGATGTCAGAAGTCGCCTTCATCAAATCCTTCCTTTCTTCGCTCGATTCCCGCCCTATCAAGCTCCGAGCAGACTATGTCCTCGACGAAGAGCGAGTTGGACCTCGCGTCCCTGTACGTCAATCCATTCCATCCAAAGACCCCCCTCATACACTCCAAATGCAAGATATTAACTGGAAAATGAACAGTACCTCCTCCCCCGCCTCAGCGCCCCCCACCCGGAAATGCCCAAGAAAGTGCAGCGCACGCAAGCCCCCGGCTCGTCGAAATCCATAACCGTGCACCTGAAGAGCGCGCGCAACCCCGCATTCGAATTCTCGCTACCCAATGCACCCATCACCACGACCTCGGTGCAGGACCTCAAAGACGCAGTTCAGGAACGGGTCGTCGACGCACAGGACGGTAAGGTGTCGGTGGAGAAGATCAAGATTCTGTATAAGCGAAAGCCGGTGACGGGGAAGACAATCGCGGAGTTGCTGGCTGATGAGCCTGAGATGTTGGCTGGAGGCAAGGAGGTCGAGTTTGGCGTGATGATAATGGGAGGGGCAAAGGTTGTGGAAGGAGGCAGTAGTGGTGAGGGGGATGTGAGTGCTGCTGCTGCGCCTAAGGCGGCGGTTGGGCCGAGTGGGGAGGAGGTGTTGAGGACGGAGGCGTTCTGGGATGATTTGCAGGGGTTCTTGGAGCAGAGGTTGAAGGATAGTGAGGAGGCGAGGAGGTTGAGGGGGGTGTTTAAGGGAGCTTGGGAGAAGCAATAAGCTGCCAGTTATTTAGATTCGTGTATTGAAGCGTACAGTGCTTAATGGTGGGCAGGTGTGTATGTATGTAATATGATACCTTGTCATGGATTTATTTTGACATTGATTTGGATATGTGGCGAGATTTCATTGCATATGGGAGATTGCATTGGGGTGGAATATGTGAGCTGGAATATTGTACAGGTTAAGGGTAGACCAATGCTCGCCGGCTTTGAATACATTTATACTTCAAGCTTAGGTACCCTTGTTCGCGGACGGGTTTGAGAATAATTGGAGCAGAAATCAAGCAGTGTACAGGCTGGTGCAAAGGCTCTAAAGGTCAGGGCAAGGAGATCATCATACAGCATTCATCCATAGCACCCCCAATGTACTGGGGGCCAGGGATATCAAGACATTCAAGAAAGTCGACCACACGGTCCGCAAATCCTATTCATATGGAAACGCACCAAGAAATTCGCTGGTATCGAAAATGTCGTGTTATAAAGACACCTTGCAGACGTGTGGCAGACAGCGGTTGAACGTCACGGAGTATAAAAGCACACATTATAACCCCCTTCGAATCCGCATGGGGTATGTGAGTCAAAGAGAGGGCTAAGAAAAATAGAAAGAGGTATGAAAAACATAGGCTCGTACCATCAGACAGGGCTGGACGAGCAAAGCAGCTGATTGTCAATAAAAGGGTAAAAAGTAAAAGAAACTATAACCACAGGAGTAGAAAGGAACATATGCCAGGTAGATTGACACCGTTGCAAATGCTCGAGAATCGGCCAAGCGCTCATCCATCTCATGCGTGCGAAGAACATGCCGTAGGAAAAGGAAGAATCAGCTGTCGAAAGAAAGAAACATACATCAGCAAAGGGGCCTCGCTATCTCGAGAACACCTTGACGACCCCGTCACCACCTCCACTGACGACCCAGCGGCCATCGCGGCTCCAGACGGCAGCACACACTCCTTCACCACGCATCAACCGGTGACTCGTGATTTCTTGAGTGCAGCTCCGCTTCTCGAGGTTCCAGAACCGCAAGCTGGCGTCATGACCCGCAGAGACTAGCTCACGTCCATCTGGGGATAGCGAAAGCGAGGCAATCGCCGATGGATGGGCCAACATCGTGTATGTGCATTGGCCTAATTATGGATGATTAGCATACGTACACTTCAAAGGAGGCTTTGTGAAACATACCGCTGTTGGCGTCGAAGAAGCGAATGTAGCGGTCTTCATATCCACTAATGATTACTCCTTCTACACCACTAGAGCCAGTCGCACCATGGACAACCTCCTCTTCGCCCATTGTCCGACTGGGGTCAAGACCTGCCGAACCATCGAATCCGACGGTGGTGGCGACGACGGAGTTAACGCCAGTCGAAGGTGTGCCATCGTATGTCTCGAGACTCGCCATGCCCACAATTTCCTCGCCCGTCCTTGTATCATACACAAGGATGGAAGCGTCAGTGTAGGACACAACAAAGTTGATACCTGCAAGCGACAATGGACTGATACACGTTGGGGAGGGAGATTCGGTCCGAACAATTTGACGAACCATACTGTAATGGAATGGCGTAGTAGTAGCCGTGCTGGGTTGCGGTGACGAGGGGAAATTGGAGCCGGAAGAGATCGAGTTGGCTCTCCGGCTACCACCAGCGCGTCGAGACCCTGCTTGAGGGGAAGAAAGCTGCGGAGGCGCACTAACAGCCCATATGATGATGCGGCCGTCCGCACCACCGGATGCGAGTAAAATGCGATCGGGGCCACCGTAATGGCTGCTAGAATCGCCTAACACAGAGCCTGCGGTTCCTGGTAGAACACAAAGACCCCAGACGGCGTCCGTGTGACCATCAAGAGTCGCCTTTGGGTCAACTCGTCCACGTTCCCACACTCGGACACTGGTATCTTGTCCACCTGAGAAAACCCAGCCATCCCCTAACGCACGACCACCGTTAGAAAAGTTCTGCGGAGAGCATGCAGCAAGCGCAGTCACAGCCCCCACGTGTCCACGGTGAGTGAAATAGCTGGTAATGTCCAGGTCACTCGAGCTTGCGCCAAAGGTGCCATAGGTGGCGGGTATAATCCATCTTTTGATCGTTCCATCATCACTGCATGTACAAATTTCCGGCTCAGAGGGGCTTCCGCCGCCCGTGAAAATCACTGAACGGACGACATCCAAATGGCCGCGGAGGGCGAACCGAACTTTGAAGGTCGGATCTGGCTTGGGGCCCGCCGCTGCAAGGTCAACGGCACCATCACTCTTCCTTCTGGCACCGGAACTCTTCCGCCGATGCGAAAGAGAGCCGGACCGCTGCGGAGACTTGGAACTGACGAAGTTCGCATTCGGGAACGCATCAACATCCGGTCGGTGCGGTGGTACCTGTTCCGCCTGCGGCGCGGGTTCGGCCGGCTCATCGAAGTTCCAGCCATCTGCATCATCACCTTGCTCTTCCATTCGCTGTTGCTTGGTATCCTTAACCGCCGATTGTGAGCCATACCCATCATATGCCTGGTCCCCCTGGCCGGCGCGCTCGTCCATCAGCGAATTGCCGAGGGTTTGCTTTCGATTATCGATCGCGGTAAGCGGGGTCTGTTGTGGCTCCAGTGGTCGTCTCTCCATCGCTTCCCTAGTAGCAGGTGGGAAACCAAACTGATTTTGGGCGCGGGACATGGCCGAGTTATCTGCATAGTGCGTGATGACGGGTTGGTGGTTCTGAAGCGCCGCCTCTCGCGCCATCATATCGTTCGCTTGTGCTTGCTGCTGTTGGTGCTGTTTCTGTCGTTGTTGCTGGAGATATGCCTCCTCCAAGCTCTGCTGAGATAGCTGTTGGTTGCCGTAGATGTGATTTGGGAGATCCTGCTCGCCGAGTTCAGGAGGGGGGTGTGACGAAGGAATGACATGATAGGCAACTTCCTGAGAGCACTTCGACAGATACAATCGCGACTTCTCCCGCTCGTTCTCTTGACGATACTCGTGTTCGTTCTCAAGGTTCACATCGGCTTCGCTGGGTCCCGTATGAGGCTTGGGTCGTTGGGCTAGACGGAGATCAATACACAGATCCAATATCACCTAACAGTAGATCACTAAGAAACATACCTTTCAATGAGTTGATGCTTTCCTTAGCAATCTCTTTCGGATCCCTAGTGTCCTCAACCTTTTCATTGTTGCTAAGCTTCTTGACCTTCTCGCGCTCCTTCTTCAAGGCGGCCTCAAGCAGCCTGACGTGCTTCCCCAATGATTCATGTAAACGTTTACTCGTACGAACATCACCCTCCAACTTTCCGATGCGAGACTTCATCTCCGCGCGTTCGATTTCCCAGGCATTGCGGTCACGCTCATGCCGGTGCCACTCCGTCTGTAAAAAGCGCATCACACCTAGAAACCACCGAAAAAGCAATTAGCCACTTCCACGACCGTCAAGATCTATCACTCGGAACCCACCTTGCAGGGTGTACTCTGTCCCCTGGGGATGCCCGCCGTTGGAAGACCCATCGCCCCCAGGGCCGACGTACCCTCCGCCCCCAGCCATGGCCGAGGGAGACTGCCAAGCCATGCAAAATCGACAATGGAAACGGTGAAAGGTGTGGAATTTGTAGCGACCGAGCAGCGTAGCTCACGAAGTCGCCGGCAGGAGGATCGGGGAGGCGCTGTTCCCAATGGAAAAGCGTGATGTGGTGACCTTTCTGAATCGCAGCCGAGTGTTTGTCTCCGTGTAAGCCCACAGGTGGAGGGAACGGGCGACAACGGCAGGAAGCGAAGTTCCAGGCCGTGTCAACGCCGAGGGGAGGAAAAACAAACAATGAGAATTAATCCAGGAGGGCAGTAAGGACCCGTTATTTTTCTCGGATTTGAGCGTGCAGGGGAAAGGAGACGGTCAGCGATGCAAGCTTGAGCCCCCGAGACGATCGGAGTGACTGGTGCGCGTTCTCCTCGCAGTTGAGGTCGGGGAAAGCCACCGCCGCCGCTGAGCTTTCGTTGGCTCCGTAGGCGCCCACGCGGCCGTAACCGCTTTTAGCGCTGGGCGAGGTGGCCTTCCCAACCCCCAATTTTACACTTAAGATGCGGCCAGGGTCAGTGCATGACCTTCACATTCACTTCATTTCATGGAGAGATGAAATTATGCGTCTATTTACTCTCACCCTTGTGTTGTACAGGTTGCAATCTGAGGTTGAGGGTGAAAAGCAAATGATCAGGTCCCGGTGTTGCAGGGTACCTGACGACAGACCTCCACTTCAGCTACTTCAGTGTAGTAGTAGCGCTGGATAGCCTACCTTATTAGATAGATCCAACTACTCCATACACCTCAACACCTAAGGCACTAAACTCCGTCTAAACCGCCAATCATGGTGAATGGCGGGTCTCGAATTGGATTTTAGCCTGGCAGATGGTAGACGGGCCATGTAAGCACAACGTGTCGCTATTTTTATGGTTTTCTGGTTTCTATTTTTCTTTTTCCTTCAACCAGCCATTGCCGGGCGGAATGCTGCCAGGGTGGCACGGCACTTGTCATGAGCCTTATGGACAATATTCAGCCCACATACCGAAACCTTTTTCGCCTCCTTCGGTGTGTTGTCTTCATGCAACCTCTGTTGATGTGCTCTCATTTCCAAGTTACTTTTGATTCCGCTAGGGTCCATTTCGAAATAAGCTTCTTGTTGGCCACAAAGTCAATTCTTCTCTTGTACTTCTACGATCTTCCTCTTGCACCCAGTGCATCACGTGGCGATAAGATGCCGATCAAGGGATAAAGGATCCGCGTTGCTTGGACCCAGCCCGACGAACGGTGTCGTTCACATACAGTGAAGTGATATATGCGCAAGATGGGTTATATCTGGAATTTTGACATCGTGGTCTATGAAATAGTAGACGCCTCTTCAAACAACTCATCGTCATCGCGCTCCTGTCCATAAAGCACTTCGCAGACTCCGCCTACTGGCACATCCAGCACAGCATCCGTCCCTTCACTCCATATCTCTTTCCAGTTAACCTTTCGGTTCTGCGGCCCCATAATTTGATACGATGTCGCGCCAGGTCTCATCTTCGCAGCTCCACCAGGTCTTCGCCTGCCCTTGCCATCAATGACGGCGACATTAGCCACCTCATCCACGATATTCTCCATGCTATTCATCGGTAGCGTCAGGTACCCCGTGTTGTATGATGCCAGGGCAACGTATATGTAGATGATGGACATCACCAGCCATGAAGGAAAGGCCAATGACCACCATCGATTCGGATAATAGTATATTCCAAGCTGGTGTAGAAACGGGGACGGCAGGTAGGACCAAAGGATGTAGATCACTGCGTGCCGGAAAGTGTTAGCATGTCCCTGAGCAGAGTGCGCGCTAGATAACAACTTACGGAAGGCTAAAGAGGAAGCAAGATATAGGACAAATCCATAGTATTCATATGTCGGCACCTTCGGACTGGCCCTGGGAACAGTCGTCGCGCGGCGGGCAGATTTCGCGACAGCAGCCTCCGTATCATTCGGTGTTTCCACATCCGAGCTGTCAGGGGTGGTAGGTCGAGAAGTAGTCGTGGAGAACGGCGGTCGGAGAAGGGAAGTCAATGATGGAGACGGGGGAAGCGGAGTTGGGGGTCTATTGTAGAAGGGTGGAGCAAAGGCGTTCGGCCCATGAAGGGAACTCGTGGACTGGCGAAATGGGTGATGCATAGAAAGACCATCTTCCGGTGACTGCTCCTCCGAATCCGTAGATGCATCCGAAAAGGCTTGATCCTCTAGCGAATATTGCGATTGAAAGTCGGCATCATCTTCTGCATTGATATCTGCATGAGAGGGTGAGGTAGGATTGTGGTCATCTTCTTCGACGTAGCCATCGTTTTGCGAGCTCAGTGTGGTTGTCGCAAGGTCATCGGCGGGGAGCGGCGGGAACGGTTGCTTGGGCTCGATCGAGGTTATCACCGATGGGGACTCTGAATTATTTCGCAAATATCTGGAGTTCTCATCTTCTTCATTATCGAGAAGTGACATGCTCGCGAATGTCTGGTCACGATCAGACACAGCTCATACGTAAGGTCAAGAGGAGTAGTCGCGATATTGGTTATCGGCAAGCCTCCATAAAGCATATACTGCCGTCATTCACCGCTTATAGCCAAATCAAATGTCACAATCAACGTCCATCGGTGCAATGGGAATGGATGATTACATGGAAATTCAGCCCTTGTTGGAAATTCTTTACTTCTCTTGCATGGTCGTATGAGTCTCGGCTAGTAGCTGGTGATAATTTCTTCTCAGAAGATTTCGCTAGTATGTGTATAGTATTTTTCACCGTCACATTGGATTGACTAAATATTATATATATAACACTCATAAAAGGGATTTCTCAAACATCAACATCGACACTCCGTTCAGAATGATACTATCCTGGTACTTTAAGTCTACTAGGGATTGTTCCCATTACCATACTTAAATACAGGCTTACTGAATTTGCACGCATACGGAAGGCTTGGTTGTACGTTGATGGTGCCGAATTCTGATCCCAAGAGGGAAGCTTGAACCGCTGGGATAGTTGTAGGCTCCAATTACCGAGTTAAAGATTCCCCATACTCTCTATACAGGAGATCATAAGCTTTGAAGACTGGCTTGAGTGCACATTATGATACGATGTATTGTGGTTATCGGTTCACAATCTAGATTCCCACATAGCCACTGACTTGTTGCTGCAACCTCGGGCAAGAGCGTGGTAAATCACTGGGAAGGTGATATTAGTGCACATCATGATTGATTTCACTTTTGGAGACCACGGCCATGTTGACCGACCAGGCACTGGGACTCAATCCGACCTAGACTGACTTTGCGCTTCTAGACCTTGACGGTAATTGCACTGCAGGGTCAACCAAGACACTCAGTGATATTCCAGCAGACAGTACGACTGGCTAGAGTAGCCGTGCTGTCCCACGAGCAGCTGCAGTGAAAGAACCCAATATTGAAAGGCGCGCTGGAAGGTTTGCTTTCAAAGCTGGGACACATGATAAGCTGACAGGCTCTTCGAGTCAGCCTCCCAAGACATTGCATTCCACGGATGGAGTACCGCTTACCACCTTCCGTAATCATTCAACCTGGCTACTGTAATTATACTGTGGCGCGTTGCCTCGAAACGAGCCCTGCAACGAATCATGGCCGGCGCTGCTGGAAACATACTGGGAAAAATTCTAAAGGATGGATGAAAGCCAACTACTAGAATTACAGCGAGACCAACAAACACAGCAGAGAGGTTATCAAGACCGGGTAGTTGCTCCTAAACCTGAAGCGAAAATGGCGATAGGAGCAGCCGCAAAGTGGACTCTGATATTTCACGCTGGCAATGACAGCTCCACGATTGGCAGCGCTGAGAAATATTGATTTGATTAGACGCTGCCGCTCCTCCTCAACTGCTTAGGTGAATGAGCACGAATAGCAGCCTGTTCATGCCGGTACTGGGCAATGAGATAAAGAATAAATAGAAAAGTAAGCCAGCCAGGATCTGCCCCCTTTGTTGGGGTACAAAATATTGACAACTGCAATGATACTTGAGACCATGTGTAGTGACTGCAGCCCTGATAATCCAGTCGTCGACTATGGCCGGTTTCGATGCTTTAGCGGTTAGCTTTTGCGGTTAAGTGGAGTAGTCTTCTTGTTACCCGAACCTTGTGGGTGCGAAGGGGTAATAGTGTCAAATGAAGCTTTCAAGGTGCCTTTGGCGTTGACTGCAAGATGATGTAACCACCATTATCGGTCTATGTTTCTAGTGACTTGGGTTTCACTGCCAACTGCTCCTGTTTCATAGATTGTTTTGCGGCCTCCTTACCTGTTCGATCTCATCTACGCTCAAGGAGGTTCTTGCCCACAGCCTTTGTCGAGACAGTCTTTCGAGGATGACCTATATGTAGATGGAGATATATCCCAAGGGCGCTAGTGGTGTACCCTTATTAAGCTGCCGAGATAGGCTTGTGGAGTATAGCAATGGGCTTCCCGGACTATTGGTATGGCAACTTGTTAAAGATTTCAGCTAGGATCGCGCGGGGCCGTAGGCATATACTTATCGAGAAAGCAGCTTGTGGTCACCATATAGCCGACTACACACGGCTATCAGCTTAAGGCATCAAGCCACCAAAAGCTTAGCGTAGTTACTCCCAACCACACCTGGGCTTTGCTGTGCTGGCGCACGCAAGGGATACCTCCCCGAGACCGCGTGGAGAAAGACGGTTGGTGTGCCCTTGATGCTGTAACACCAGCGAATACCTCTATGTTGGGAACATTTTGTGAAACCATCTGAGAGAAAGTACGACGCGTAGGAGACCTGCAGAGCGCGCGTACAAGTTAGTCTGAAAGGCCAGACCTTCGTGTATGCACGAGATTCAAGGCGATCAAGACGCCGCATCTGTAATGATGCAATCTTTTCTTATTGCTTTTTGGAACAAAGCGCATCACCAAACCAGTTCCTCTCCTAAGGGACGTCCCGTGTTGTAGCTTTCATGTCCTTAACGGGTCGATCTATCCCGTAAACGAACGTACATTCCGCGGCCATCGGAGGAATTCAGTGCAACTAGCGTCGAGAAAAATGTCGCAGCCTGGCAAGAAACAATATTACTTCGTATAGGTAGTACTGACAACCCGAGCTAGTTGCACCGGATTGAACCTACCTTGAAGTGTACTGGGGTTCTTCTTGTCCGATATGGTATAGATGAATAGCGCTGCAACAAATAGGTTTCTGTTCGACAAATGTCTTGGAGTAATCGGCAGTCACACTAATAGTATATCGCTGTGCAAGTAGCTTAAACAAGGCATTGTGCGTGTCTGTATTCGTGGAGCTGCAGTCCTGAGTGTTGCCCTTTGTGTTGTGGTTGTTTGACAGAGTCAAGTCACCGGATCCCCGACGTGTGAAGGAACATCCCCGATGCCCGTTTGGGATGGCGGGACTTCCAACCTCGCTCTCCCTTGTTTCCCTCCCTCAGTCATCTTACATCCCCTCATTCCTGACCATATCTACCTAAGGTGTCCCGCGAAACAGTGTTAATAACTGTGTTCCGTTATTCAACGGGGACAGAGCTGAGTATTGGCCCGTCAGGCCATGATCGACAGTGGACGATCGGAAGGACAGTACGGAGTAGTTGGAAGTTGGAACATCGCTGTCGGCTTTGATTTCCAGCCAAAGAAAATTGCTCCACGTCTCCCTGATCTGTGTAGGCATCCTGCGCCAGGCACTGCAGACAAACAGCAGCTAGCAATGTGGGGAGACTATGCTCTTCTGGGGTTACAGGGCATGGCCTCTGTCGGTCAACCATGCGGCAGCAAACCCAATCTAATTGCACGGTGAACCAGACATTGAACACGGCATCTGTGCATTAGCCAGTCAGTGCAGAACTTGACATCTGACAGTAGGACGGCTCAACTGACGTCGGTCTCATGCAGTGGGACTGGAAATGATTTGGCATACGCCGGGGCTAACACCTCAATAGCATCGGGACTACGAAGCATACTGATATGGTGTTGGGACTTTGGAGGGGAGGATCTGGTCATGCAGATGGCACTAGGATGATCCATGGTTAGCAAGTTTTAGGGCGCTCGGCGGATTCCCGGGAGCTGTCTCGGTCTTTTGCCCACAAGCTGTCCTCCGGATGCGATGGAGCGCCAGGAACAGGATAAGTTGGGTCTCCTCCCAAATGGAAGTGGCTTTTACTGTTTAGATACTTGATATAGAAAACTACTGCATGTCTCAGTGCAACTTCAACGTGGTACTCTGGTGTACGGCTGAAACCTTTGGTTCAAAGGAGCCTAGACATCCCTTGCGGAGGCTGGAGGGCCAGACGGAGCTGTGATATCGCTGATCGGCGGGACCCATCGTCTATTGGATAGCCTGCCCTCAAGCCTATGGGACTAGTGAAGATTAGCGACTGTGGTAGCCTTCCTGCAGCCGATCTCATGCGCGTTCCGCAAAAGGGGGTGTTTGCAAATTATCATTGGGCCTCGACTTGCACTTTTGGGTTGTCCAGTGTCCATGCCTCCATGGGTCCCGACGAACTCTTAATCTGGTTCGCAAGTAAAATTTCTCGACCCCTGGCTTCCGGTTGACATGCTGTGTGTAACTGCTCCATAACCCAGATTGATTGCGTCCGCGTTCCAGCGCCCACGCACCGTGCCCGACGGCAAGTGGATCAAAACCTACAGTCGGTCAGTCGCTTAATTGTCAAGTGCCCGGAATTACAATTTAGTACTTCTGTACGGTGGTCTTCGCCGAGGGCAGGGCGCATAAGCGAACCATGATTGGTGATGGCTGATTAAAATCCACGATAAACACTCGCACATTCCAAACAATTGGATTTCTTGGTCGTCCAATGATAGCCCTGTCAGACAGCACTAGCGCATGCTTCAGCCTGTCGGGGCCAGTAGTAGTTTTCACTTGACACCTTTGAGTGACAGGTCCGACAGGTTTCTTGCTCGTGATTCACACACCATGGAATCCGCGACTGTGTGGAGGCAGGGGCCTTTTCCCAGAATAAACAAGACCTGTACGAAGTAGGGCTAGCTATATTACTTATCTACGCCGCCGCCCTTAATCGGACGCCCTTGCCTGCTTTCCACTAAGAGTGGCCAGACGAAGGCCGTCTGAGTTCACAGACAACCACCATGGCCTACCAACGAGCTCTCAAGGTCCTATTTACACGGGATATCCTCGTATGTAGCAAACTGAATCCTTTTTACCTTCCAAGATGTTAACCCTAGGCCGTTCCAGAATCCCGACAATGACCCTAATATCGGTTCATCACGGGGAAATGCGTCCTCGACGACATCCGATGCGATGTCGGATCTTGGCCTTGGAGGGGATTCGACTTCCCTTTCAGCATTCTTGACCACACTGATACCAGCGTTGGTGATCGCTGCGTTTTGGTTCGGTCTCTTCTTAATCTGCCGGCGAACCCAGCTGCGATGGTACGCACCGAGGACTCACCTGCCATGTTGGCACCAGCAGTACGTTTCTCGTTGTCTGTCCCCTATTCCACTAGAATCTGTCGCTAAGATGCGCATAGTGAGCGTGCCCCACGTTTACCTTCGGGGTTTATCAATTGGTTCGGCCAATTCCTGAAGATCTCCGATGCTCAGGTCCTCCGACATTCCTCCATGGACGGGTATCTTTTTCTCCGATTTTTACGCGTGCTCTCTGCCACATGCTTCACTGGTTGCGTTATAACCTGGCCAATTTTGCTTCCAATTAATGCCACGGGTGGCGCAGGGAATACCCAACTGGACGCCCTAAGTTTCAGTAATGTGACCAACTCGCAGCGTTACTATGCACACACAATTATAGCGATTGTCTATTTCAGTGAGAGATCCCTCCAGTATAATGGATGAGCGCCACGGACTAATGTTTTGTGTTGAAGCCTTTGTTTTCTTTGTGGTCACTCGTGAGAGTATCTTCTATGCGAACCTACGCCAAGCATACTTCAACTCCCCGGCCTACGCGGAGCGTATCTCTTCGAGGACGGTCTTATTCATGTCCGTACCGGAGGAGTATAAGAACGAGAAGACGCTGCGCCAGGTTTTTGGAAACAATATTAACCGAATCTGGATCACGTCCGAGTGTAAAACCTTGGACAAGAAGGTCATGGAGAGAGCAAAGCTAGCCTACAAACTGGAACATGCTGAAACAAAATTGATTCGAGCAGCAAATTCAGCGCGGCTGAAAGCCATCAAGAAGGGGGTCGCCCTCTCGAAGCCATGCCTGGATTCAGATAGCTGCGAAGAGTGCCAATCGAACACTTCCACAACATATCATGGGATCAAAAGACCTACTCATCGTGTTAAGATGTTCGGCAAAAAGGTCGATACAATCCGCTGGTTACGCGCTGAGCTGACGAAGGTCATTGAGGAAATCTCTATCCTCCAGAAAAAGCATCGCAATGGAGAAATGAAGAATCTTTCTGCCGTTTTCATCGAATTTGCCACTCAAAAGGATGCGCAAGTTGCTCTACAGACCGTATCCCATCATCAGCCACTTCACATGACGCCTCGTTTCATTGGTATCTCGCCAAACGAGGTCGTTTGGTCAGCTTTGAACTTGAGCTGGTGGCAGCGGATCGCACGCCGGTTTGCGGTTCAGGGTGGCCTTGCTGCCCTCGTTATTTTTTGGTCTATCCCATCTGCCATGGTCGGAACGATCTCGAACATCACTTATCTCACTAGCATGATCCCATTTCTAGGCTTCATCAACAAGCTTCCGTCGGTCATCTTAGGTCTTATCTCTGGTCTACTTCCTTCCGCTGCGCTCGCTTTGTTGATGTCTCTGGTTCCAATCATTTGTCGAGGTACGACTTCCCCACTTGTTCGTGACCTGCAGCTTCTAACCATTACACAGCCTGCGCCAGAGTCTCTGGTGTGCCGTCGACGTCGCGTGTGGAACTCTTTACCCAGAGTGCACACTTCTGTTTCCAGGTAGTGCAAGTCTTCCTTGTCACTACGTTGACTTCGGCGGCATCGGCTGCGACTGCTCAGATCATCAAGGACCCTCTATCGGCCAAGGATCTTCTGGCCGAGAACCTACCAAAAGCGACCAATTTCTATATCTCCTATTTTCTTCTCCAGGGCCTGACTATGAGCTCCATGGCGGTCGTACAGGTTGCAGGGGCTGTCGTCTTCAAATTCATCACAACATTCTTCGACCGTACCCCTCGACGACTATACCAGAGATGGGCTGCCCTGAGTGGTGTAGGATGGGGCAATGTGTTCCCCGTTTTCACAAACATGGGTGTGATTGGTACGTTCAATTTTGCCTTTTCAGGCTTTTTCTGAGTCTAACATTGTCTTCGCAGCAATTACCTACTCGTGCATTGCTCCGTTAATTTTAGGATTCGCCTTTGTCGGACTCTACCTTGTGTACCAAGCATATCGGTACAACTTCTTATTCGTTTACGAACTCCGCATCGACACCAGAGGCCTCGTGTATCCGCGCGCACTGCAACACCTCTTGACTGGTATCTACCTCGCAGATATCTGTCTAATCGGTCTCTTTGCCATCAAAGGAGCCATCGGACCACTCATCATCATGGCCCTGTTTCTCATAGTGACCATCCTAGCCCATATATCCCTCAACGATGCGCTGGAGCCGCTGTACTCTTTCCTTCCAGCCAACCTGGACGTCGAAGAAGAGTCGCAGCTATCCAAAGCGGAAGCAGATGCCCTGAACCCCCGCTCAGTGGGCAAATGGGAAGCGGCCTGGAAATGGTTCCACCCTAATCTGTATCGCGACTACGCCGCACTGCGCGGAAAAGTTCCCCGCGACCATGTGGAGATCCGATACACAGAGGAAGAAAGAAACAAGGCCTACTACGAGCCGTGCATCACCGCACGAACCCCGACTCTTTGGATCCCACGGGATAAATGGGGATTCAGCCAACAGGAAGTGCTCGATACGGACCCGTGCATTCCTATCACAGACGAGGGGGCACACCTGAACGAAAAGAACCGAATTGTCTGGGACAAGTATGATCCTAAGCTGCCGCTGTGGGAACTGAAGATTCTTTATTAGCCTGCTCTGCCTTACGATTAACGATTTGATGCTGGATTGACTTGGCCACAAGATTGTGACATTTACTTATCTGCCTACCTATCTATCTATCAACTGAATAATATTAATCAATGAATCCAATCAACTATCTATTCTGTACTATGCTCCTGCAAACTATGGTAAGCAAAATCCCACGTCAACCGCTATCATATGCATCCGGGATTCATCTTTCTTCCCCCGGCCCCCAAACTCTAATTCTAAACAATGCTCCACCCCGGCCAAAGTCTATAGTGTTCCCCCATCCCTTGCAGGATCTTCGATCCTTCGCCGAGACAAGATTGATTGCCTTCGAACCTACGGAGTAGAATAGACCGAATTAAAAGTGGGCATGATCGATTTTGGGGTCCCACTGCCGTTGCTAAGCGGATATCAGTCTTCTATATTTAGTTATTAACATAAGTACCATACTGTCTTCCGCTCTGGCGTCTACTGCTAGGCAACTATACGGATTACATACGTAATAACGTTATGGTGAGTTGAGTAGGAAGTCTTTAACCATGTGTGGATCCATACATATCACATTCTGATAGTAGCTTTTCTATTGACGAGGCGTTTGCAATGAGCTAGTACTAGAGGTTTATAAACATTTAATCTTGGAACAAACCGAGGATATGAGGGATTTACGGGCTTTGATATGGAAATTGAATATCCACATAGGCTGAAAATAAAAGAGTGAATTCCCTATGTCCTGTATGGAAACGCTATGTATTATTCATAATAATGAATACCATTTGCTCAGATATATATCTACCGGAATAGAAAGACACCCAATACCAGATAAATCCCGATGGCCATAGTGGCCTCATATCGCGCTCGTTAATGATTGTGGTCGTAGTAGGGCATGATAGACATTAAACCCCGCCTGGTTGCAAGGCGGTTACATAAAATACATAAAGTCATGTACATCGTTGGGGACCCGAAAGTACGGGCAGACTGTCTAGTCTTGCAATGCAAGCTCACATCACGATGCAGTCTTTGGGTCGGTCTCTTGTGCGTTCCGAGGGTCCGGTGGTGAGAGGCACACCTGGAGGTCGTCTCCCCTGTTGGGTTCTTTGGTACGGAGACGCATTAGAGGAGTCTGTGAAGTTGGGGCTCCGCTGGGGCGACGGGTATACTGGACTTCTCGCTGCCTGCTCATATGAAGGCGGGGGAACATCGTCGTCATCCGTCGGCCGGATGGTAGGTATGTTGGACTGGGAGTACCGGGCAGGACGCTGACTTTGCCTTGAGGAGCGGTTTTCAGACGCAACTGTGGCGTATGAAGCACTGCTGGGGTTTACAGCACTTGATGAACGGTTGCGAGTGTATGCTGCCCCGGGTGCTAGCCCCGATGATGGCGGGTGGGAGACTGAAGCTCGCTGGGAAGGGTTTCTGTTGGTCGAATCTCTATTGGTCGTGGCATTGGCTCGTTGCTCTTCTTCTTGGTACTGGAGAGCGAGCGCGTAGGCGTAGTCTGCATCGGCCTGTTCCTGGGGAGTCATGGTGCTGCTACGCTGTTCCTGTGGCTCGGGAGGAAGGCCGGTATTGCTCGATGTTCTTGGGCCCGATGGGTCAGAAGGGGGAGGAGCGTCATGGCTGACAGGGCGAAAGTCTCCGGAAAAGAAACCAGCTTCTGAACCATTGACGTCGACAAGACTCTCCCATACAACCTCAGCGTGGCTGGAATAACCAGCATCGGTAACTAGCGTAAAGAGCTGATCGAGTCGGGGATGTTTGTACAGCGTCGAGAAATGATCGTTGCGGAATAGGATCGAGAATGATCCGGGCTGCAACGTCGTTGCTAGATGCTTCAAGCCGAAAGTGCTCAGTTGAGTCGCGTTCTCGAACTCCGTGAACTTTTGAATAGTCTGGATATCACTCATGACGAGTTCTTCCTCCGGCGTCAATGCGTTGCCTCGCATAACGCGGTCTTCCAGATCTTGCTTCCGGAAAGGAAGCAACTGAATATCTTCGTGATACTGACCCACGCGGGCCAATGCTGCATCAGCCTCTGTAGACGGGGCTGCAAGCCATCCGTGAACTAAGGGGACTCCGAATGTTCCATAGAGACGGATATCTTCGGTTTCAAGGAAAGTACCCAGCGCATCATTAGATTCCTGCTCTGGTTAGCTGCTGCGTCCATTAACATGTGTACGAATTACTCACCAAAGTGAGTCGCGGATTGACATTCATGCCGGTATGCAGCATAGTCAGAAACCGACTAAGAGCTTCGATATCGGGAAACTCGTCATCGGGCCCCAGCCGTGTGGTCAATTCATCAAAGAGTGCCTCAATCAGCAACCCTAACGAGATTTGTTCGCGAGTCTGCAAAGCTCTCACAATCGGCGGTTGTGAGTCGTGGATTGTAGAGCGTAGCACAAGAGCATTGACCAGTGCCAGAAGAGGACACGGTCCATTTTTATTCTGTACCAGGATAGGCGACTCGCGTAACTTGCCGGTGCTATCGGCCCAGTTGACGTGTCTGATCGAGTAGGTCTCCGACCGCTGTTCTTGCTGTCGCTTCGCTTCCGCTTCTGACATTGGTCCACTGAATGCTGAATGAGTATAGACGGCACCAGGGCCTTTCGAGCGATCGGGTAAGGGGGGAGCGTTGCCAGGCTTCTCTCGCAAGATTTCTTCCTGTGGGCCCTCTGGCGAGTTAAGGTTGTAGCTTTGAGGCGCTTTGTTTGGGGCATCTGTTTTAGGTGGCGGAATAGGGGCTTCATCCAGTTCAATCAAGACGTGAGAAGAGCCGGTGGTATTGCTGGATATAGTCGCCGGAGTACTCATACTCCTCGCCGGGGATTCCCTGCCCTCGTCATGTAGCTGTGGGGTTGGCTGGAGATACGTTTGTTGACTAGTATACGGTGCACCTGGCACATTCGATGTTCCATAATGTATGCCAGTTTCTTGGCCAGCATATAATTGACTCTGGTCGTGGTATCCGTACGTTTGCGAAGACGCGGGGGGTTGCATCGCAGTGGACTCTTCACCAACCCAGGGAGTCTCTTCCTCGGGCTGATCAAAGAGCGATAAGCGCGCTGTCATCGGGATATATCCCTCGTCTAAGTGGGTCAGCCTAGGCTGCTAGATCAGCGACAGTTGGACAGTGCATACCTTGTCCGAGATGTCCACTAGCACCGTCGTGAAATTGGGACGACTCCCCATATGAGGTGTGAGAATTGCGATCTTGCCATGGATTTGGTTCCGGCGACCTCGGTTTCAGAAAAGGGTTGTTCGACTGTAGCTGCACCGGTGATTGACCCGTGTACTCCCTGTCGGGTCGCCATTCCGCAGCACCTCTCTCTTGAACACCAGGAAAAGAGGTAGATGGAACTTGGTCTGATACGTTTCCGTTCACCATCCCCATACCCTGTGAAGGACTACTAGCTGTTTGCCGAGGAGATGCCACCGAATCCTGGTGATCCAAACCGAACCGCGCTGTGAGCTCGTCCGCCCACGGATTCGACCCGTCCCCGGCCGAATTCCGGATTGGCGACCTCTGCGCCTGTTCCAACGGCATGAGGTCAAAGGCTGGTGAGGTATTGAGATCGGGAGAAAAGACCGATTCCTGAGAAACAACCCGATGAGGTTGAGGAGAGCTTTGAGCCCGTCGCGGGCGAGTCAGGCGTTTTGGCGACGAGGATGAGAGGGATTTGGAAGTCGGGGAGAGTTTGGAGTTGGTGAAGCGGGATCCAGTACGGTCATTCCCTTGAGGAAGGCTGTGGAGGCGTGGCGGAGCTCGTTTTCGCAAGACCATGAGGCGAACTCTTAGTGTACGAGGCCCGGGGTTGCCGAGCTCACGGGGGGATTACAAGAGGGTTGGACAAGCTTGGGGGCCAATAAAGTGCGGTCAAGGAGCCAGTCAGAAGAGTTAGATCGGCAGGCTCCCTCTGATGACAGGTGAGATTGCCTAGTTCGACAGTCTGACGCACGAATGGGCGCCAAAGTGTCGCAGACGTGGTTGGGAGCTCTCGGGGATGTATACGTAACCAGGCAGTGGCTCCGAAAGGGACGATGAGATCAAGATTAGCCAGTATACGCGAGAAACAAAACAACAGCCTCAGCCATGCCTTTTGCAGGGAGGGGATGGTCGATCCTAGGCAGCAAGAAGAAGATGCAAAGTAAAAATTGAGGGAGGAAAGGCACGCGAAGTCAACAACAATGGCGGGAATGACCGTTGAGGGTCACAGGCACCCGGATTCCCTGGCGGAATGAATGAATGGATGCGATCGATGCTCGGGATTGGCGGTGGACCCCTGCCTGTTCTCCCGTTACCGCTGTTACCGCTGTTTGGTGCGGGGATTCGCAATGTGGCTGCCTGCTATTACTGTCTCGTATGGTCACGTCCCCGCTGGCACCGCCACACTCTCCGCGTATTGCGCACCGCCACTTGAAAATGACGTATTACCGCGGAAGAGAGGAAGAACAGATGATCCGCTGCTATACTCATTACATAAGCCGTGCATTATCGCAAGTGATGGAGGGTCCGTGCGCTATCGCAGAAAAAAGTAACGGAAGTCCATCGGAGACAAAAGCTGCTACGTTGGCGGGGTTATTGGCTCTGGTCGCTTGAATTGATCTTTTTGTTCTTTGCTTATAATGCGCTGATTCTTATCCCGTCACATATACGTTCTAAAACCTCCCACATCATGCATTCCTACGTGCGACCAAATCAATTCGTCGCCTTCAAGCTCCCCTCCGAGGCGACGAGGATCCAGAAAGTCGTTCCCAATACGTATGCGCGCAAAATGCTCCAATTTCTCAGGAATCGCACAGTGCTAATTATATTTTACAGACAAATTTCTCTAGGCAAATACGGCGCTTTCCCCGCCAACCAGATCATTGGCCGCCCCTTCTACCTGACCTTCGAGATCCACGAAACCCCCGGACAAGCTGATAGCACCTACCTCCGCATCGTATCGGCGGCGGAACTCCACGCAGAATCCCTCATCACCGATGGCGAAGGCGACGGCGATGATGTGGAGGTCAATGAAGACGGCACCCCGGTGCGGTCGAATCGCGAAACCATCGACGACCGATCCACGCAAAAGTTAACGCTAGAAGAGATTCTGGCGCTGAAGAAGGAAAGCACCGGCGCGGGAAGGGAAATTATTGCGAAGCTGCTCGAGTCGCATCAGGCCTTGGATCAGAAGACGGCATTCTCACTGGCCAAGTATAAGCTGCGGAAGGAGAAGAAGTACATGAAGCGGTTCACAGTGATTCCGTTGGATGTCAGTCTCTTGACGAACTACATGCTTGAGGACAAGGATGCAGCTCGGACTATGGAATTGCGCGACGAGCTCATCGGGCTGATTGGGTGTTGGGGAAATGTACACCATGGTGGAAGCACCTCTTTTGACGATACTGTTACGTCGAAACCGAATGGTCGCTATCTGGTTGTTGATGATACGGGCGGTCTGGTCGTCGCAGCTTTGGCGGAGAGAATGGGAATCCTGTACCCTCACGATGGCGAGAATGACCAGGAGCAACAGGACGCCATTGAGCGGCCTGCCGCGGCGGAAGCTGATGAGGCAGAGAAGCCCCAAGACGGCGAAGAGAAAGCCCAGGATGGAGAGGAGCAATCCACGACGACCACACATCGCCCACCCCGTCGGCCACAGATGTCCGCTTCAGGAAACACTATCACCCTTCTTCACGCCAACAAGCAGCCTAACCTAAGTCTCTTGAAATACTTTGGCTACGAACAAGACAGCCCGAGCGACACACATCCCCTCTACACAAATCTCAAGACCGTCTCTTTCATGCAGCTGCTCGACCCCATGGCGGACAACATCTACTCCGAGGAGCCGTCAGTAGTACCCGAAGAAGAGCTTGCTACATACAAGGCCAGCAAGCGTAGCGCCTACCACCGCAAGCGCGGGCGTTGGATGCGCGTCCGCAAGGTAGTCGACGAAGCTCGGGCCGGCGGCTTCGATGGTCTCATTATCGCCTCTCTAATGAGCCCGACGAGTATCCTGAAATACACTGTCCCATTGGTGGGAGGCTCGGCACCGATTACTATCTACTCACCCACCGTTGAACCGTTGACAGAGGTAATGGACTTGTATTCGACAGCGCGCAAGAACGCCTACATCGCTCGGAAGCGTGAGCTACAAGAACAGCAACAGGCTGAGGGCCAGGATGAGTCTGGCAAGATGCACCCTGCACTGGAAGAGGAATTCACAGTCGACCCTACCATGTTGCTTGCGCCGACACTGCAGACCTCCCGAGTACGTGTCTGGCAGGTCCTTCCTGGGCGGACACATCCGTTGATGTCGGGACGTGGTGGTGCAGAAGGGTACATCTTCCATGGCATCCGGGTCATCCCGACGCAGGAGATCATCGAGGCAGCTGGAAATCCCGGCCGGAAGAGGAGGAAGGTGACCAAGGAGACAGAGACACCGACGCAGACGCAAACTCCAACTGAGACGCAGACGGGCAGCGGGGATGTGGAGATGACGTCGTGACCTATCTCAGTTCGGATTCTATATTATTACCTTACCTGTAAGATAGCCGGGAATGGGCTGAAAGAATATACCATGTGAACATCACTACATGAAATAAAGAGCTCCGTCGAAGTGATAAGAGGGAGCCATCTGCCCGACAGCTCCAGAATATTCGTCACCGACACCATCGGAAATGATACCAACCAAACACAAAGCAATTGGATCAAAACGCTTCAAGTTGAAATATACACAGAGTAAAAGTGACTAGACACGGACAACAACTAAAGGTCCAGTTTCGAGTTTGTTCATACGCTGAGTTGTGGCAGCAAACAAAAGCACATCCATCTATCTATCAATCAATCAATCAATCATCCTAGAAGCTCTTTCCCATGAACTTTCTCTTGGCGAAACTAAGCCACCACTACACCCTAATTAGCCTCCCATCTGTAATTGCAGGGTAGAAAGAAAGAAATACATACCTTCGAAGGCCCTTCACCACCGGGGTATAATCTAGCATGCAACCGAACCGCAATCTCCTGCCTAACTTGCGAAAGGTACCTATTACAGCCAAATCAGCGCTCTCCAACACAGACCTTAGTCGAAAAGAGCCGAAAAAGAATAAACGTACTGTCTCAACGTCTCCGCATCCTGACGATCGCGGGGCGCCTCAAACGCCTGGTTCAAAGGGAAGGACACGTCACCGGGAATAGCGAAGTGGTCGAGCGCAACGTTGATCAAAGCCTGCAACAGTACCCATTAGCACGCTCACCTCATTAACCAACATCCAACATCGAAAATCCACCACCAGCCCCTCACAACTCAGCACGACAAGGGCAAGCAAAGCATACCTTCTCAGCCTCCCGCATAGCCATACCGGGCTTAACCTTCCCCAAGCACTCGCTGATGAACAAGGTACCGTAGATGAGCATGCGATCGGCGGGGCCATTGATTTCGAAGTTACGGAAGAGGACATTGGCGCGGAAGAGGGAGAGGATTTCGTCGACGCAGTCGTAGGATTCGCTGTCGGCGGGCACATCGGTGGTGTCGGCGGTGGGCGGGAGCGGGGGGAGGGTGTATGCGGGGCCGCGGGTGCGAGTGCGGAGGGGGAGGATGGGGAAGTTTCCTATCAATGGATATTAGTTGGGCTGATGATACGGAGGTGGACTCGAGGGTATGGTGGAGGTAGCTCTCGATGTATGGGGTGTAGCTAGGTAGGTGTATGGCGGGGAGAGTGCGGCGTACCTATTACGGGGACATCCCGATCCTCGAGGAAGATGGAGTGGTATGCCTAGAATGGGATTAGTCAATTTGTCTGGAGAGTTTCATGGAGAGGAAGATAGAAAATGGGACAGTACCGGCATTGCGAGCTGCAGGGAAATGTAGTGCGGGTTATCCTTAGAGCCGGTCTAAGGAAGGAATAGGTAGATACAATAGGAGAGGGACGGAGGTGGATGGAGGCGCATGTCATCACCCGTGCAGGTCGACTTGAGCTGCCGCTGCCTGGGCGGGGAGATTTTCCGGCCCGAACCTCTTTACGCGCTACGCGTCTCTCGTGTATTTTGGATAGCTACAATCACTTTACTTTTCTTCGTTTGACATATCTCATAACGAGATAAGCCTTTATATCAGTGACTCGGCATACTGCCCCTTCAATATCAACATCATGTCCGACTACGAGGACTCAATGGACGTGGACGTCCCCTCCAAGAGCGCAATTCAATTCAGCTCCGACAACACAAGTGGAAAGGCAAAGCGAGTAGCAGCAGATTTGCCCGTTGAAGCTCAAGATAACCTGCCTTGGTACATCCCCTATGTTTACAAAGCCTTGCGACATTTTCTAACCATCAAAATACAGGGTAGAGAAATACCGCCCCAACACCCTAGAAGATGTATCCGGCCACCAAGACATCCTCGCAACAATCAACAAATTCGTCGAAGCAAACGTACATCTCTCCTCCAATTCCCTCAATGATATGCTTAAGCTAACGGGGTTAATCAACCTAACAGCGCCTCCCCCACCTCCTCCTCTACGGCCCCCCAGGAACGGGCAAAACATCCACCATCCTCGCCCTAGCCCGCCGAATCTACGGCGCAAAGAACATGCGCCAAATGGTACTGGAACTAAACGCTAGTGACGATCGCGGTATCGACGTCGTTCGAGAACAAATCAAGACCTTTGCCAGCACAAAACAGATCTTCTCCATGGCACCTTCATCCACCTCCACCTCCTCCTCGACCCTCGCCTCCTACAAACTCATCATTCTCGACGAAGCCGACGCCATGACCGCAACGGCCCAGATGGCTCTCCGCCGCATCATGGAAAAATACACAGCCAACACGCGGTTCTGCATAATCGCCAACTACACACACAAGCTCTCTCCGGCACTTTTGTCCCGATGTACACGATTCCGGTTCAGCCCGCTGAAAGAAGCAGATATCCGGGTA